TATTATCTGAATTATTTCTCATAAAAAACATGATTAGATATAATTGTTATGAGACACGGTCATAAAGTTAAATTCACTTTCAACTTTCAAATATAAACTACGAGTACGATACGGGGACATGTAATTTAAATTGCTAACTTTAATTTCCACTTTCCTATTTATTTCAAATATTTATACATGAAATGACGGGCACAAGATGATAATGTATACTTCAGATAACAAAACTACAATAAATCCATGTATTAAAAAAAATAGAAATACCTAAATTTTTAGAAAACAAAAAGGCTAAAACATGAATCTTTGAATTGAAGAAAGTAATGAGAAATAAAGATGAAACTGAAAGATCAATAAAATTAAAAATCGAACAAGGATTGTGTATGCTAGGATTACAGACAGTGCCTTGTGAATGAAAATGGTGGGAGCATGTGACTTAGATTGATAATTTCATTTTTATTAGTTTGATAAAAATAAATATTTAAACGAGGAATACGGGTATCATTTTGATTAGTTTCATTTTACCAAGTTTCTTATAATAAACATTGACAAATGATTATGTTTTGAAAAGAAACGATTATGGGATATAAATTTTATGATAGATAGAAAACGGGACGGGACGGGGCGGGGTGGGACGGGACAGGTCAGGACGATACGGAAAAAGACAGGACGGGTTTTCCATTCTAAACTACGCATAAAACAATTTAAACTAAAGCCAAACTCAAAACAGTTAGAAATGTTTTGATTAGTTTAAAAAATAAACACGCAATATCATTTATCATTTTCATTTAAATAATTTTGAAATTGTATTATGTAATATAATATCTATATTTTACAATTGTATGTATATAAATAGTTTATCAAATAAACTCATATAACAAAATTTTACCAAAATAACATGTACTTAAAATATCGTAATTTTGTAAAGATAAACACGCACGTACGTGCGGGTCTATCACTAGTGTCCTATAAAAAGGAAATTTAACATTCACAATTAAAATTGAGCAATTATTATAAGTAACATCGAAATCCAAAAGTAACCGCCTTTAAATTCAATTACGAAAACAAAAAGGTCACGTGGAGAAGCATGCATGGATGTGTAAGTGTAATATTTAGTCAAAAAAGGACTTTTTTTTAGGAGAGACTTGGATTCATGCGAACACGTGCCCAACAATACAACCCAACGGTTATAATCAAACCGTAACCATAAGTGTGTTTTGTTCCTCTTAACGTGTATTGTGTAGTAGCAGCGAACTAACCCGGTTCGGTATTATTGGGGTTAAATATGGTAATGGTTTAGGCTGTAAATAGTGATAAAAAGAGAGTTTGACCAAGAAGTAAATGTGAGTGAGAGTGTGTGTTAAGAAGTGGTAAAGTAAAAAGATTGACCGAACAGTTGGGAGTCAATCTCCAGGAAAAGGCAAGTAGAAGAAGAAGAATCTTTTCTTATCTGTACAGATACAAATACAGATACAGATATACGTGCTTCTCTATTGCCCAAGCGGGGGAAGGGAGCTAACTCTTTTTTGGACAATTATTGTAAAAAGCGATACATTTTTTCTTTTTTAAGGATATCATTATTATTATAAAAAAATATATACATTTTTTCTCCTACAAAAAATAAAAATATACACCATATACGAATAGTTTATCCAACTTCATTTTTTTCATCTACGGTAGGTTTACTGGTTCCACTAAATATAATATTACCCAATTAAATTATTTGTTAATTTTCAGGTATATTGTGTATATATATAAGTATTATTTGTAAAATTGCTATAATCTGTGTTTACATGTATTTTGGTATGTGTTTTTCTATTAAAAATTTGGAATAACAAAAGATAAGATTTTTTTTAATAGATAACGGAATAATCGTTATATAGATCGGATATAATATACAAAACTACAAAATTATAACGTTTACTCCCAAATCTTACTTTTGTCGAGAAGCGTATTCATAGATTATGGGATCTAATTTGTCGTTTGCGTTTATTATTTTAAAATTATGAATTCATATATTAAATTTAATATTAATTAGAAAATATGCAAATATTTATATCATCCAAAAATTTACAGAAAGGTATAAAATAATTTTACAACTAATCAATATATCTTTTTGACAAACTAGAATATATCTTTCCCGAATTTGAATATGGAAAATAGCAAAGCAGCAACACTATTAGTATAGATTCTTTTTTTATTTATTTGATATATAATGTGGAATACTATATGGTCAAGTTATTTATATATTTGACTCGTAATGTAATTAAACGCACAGATACAATAAAGTTTGCAGGTTTTTGTGTTTATTTATAAATTGACCTCCTCAGTAATCATTTACATGAAATCTCTCTGATTTTTCGATTTCGCCTCTCTCTCTCCTTCTCCTATCTCTAATCTATTCTCTTCTCTCTCTCTCTCTCTCTATCGGGAGAAACCAAGCGGTTCTTCTTGGATCAAGGCGAAGTCAAGGCGGAGAAAGATAAGAGAGGTCGTAAGATATGGTTGAGACGAGACGTAGCTCTTCCGCTTCCAAGCGTTTCTGTGCTTCTTCTTCTTCCCCTGAAGCCTCTTCATCGCCAAGGCAGAGCAAGCGATCTAAGGTCAAGATCGATGCCGCTGC